CCCAATGGTGGTTCACAACCATCATTGTAACTCCATTCTAGGGGATTCAGCATCCTCTTCTGACCTCTGTAGAAAGCAGGCATTCAGTGAGGTGCATGCATACATGTATAAAAGTATGAATCTAAGCAAGACCTCTAGGAAGATTATAAAACATTGACTTCCATGAGGAGACTGCCAGTTTAAGAGACTAGATTGAAACACACACACACACACACACACACACAAAATGGTTTCAAGTAACAAGTGATAAATGGCAAAGAAACGAAAGGTGAATCTGAAAGTACCAGGGACAATGACAGTAAGTACAGAAAAAAAAAAGCCAGAGGAACTAGCGTCAAGATAAAAGATGCAAAGAAAAAAAATGTATAAGGCCCCTTGGCATGCTTAGTAGAATGTAAGGAAAGTCAAGAGGGAATTTAAAGACATAAGCTAAGGAAACAATCCTGGAAAGAAGAATGGGGTTCACAGATGTCCATGCATCTGTATCTAAGTGATAGCATGCTTTCCTCAATCCTCAATAATGAAAAACACAAACGCAAAAGACGCTACACCTGATAACAACAGCAGCCATCAAACTGACACTGAATGATCACAGCTGAGCGATTTCCTGGCTAAACAATTAGTGTTGGGCATCAAGATTCAAACGAGTGCTGGGAACTGCAGCAATCAACTGCTTGAAAAAGAAACCAAAAACACACACTGGAGGAAAGACAGCATCTTCGACAAACAGCGCTGGGAAAATGGAAAGGCCACATGTAGAAGAATGAAATTAGATCCATATCTAATCACCCCGCCTTGCATGGAAGTCAGCTCTAAGTGGGTCAAAGTCTTCAGTGGGAAACCACTAGAAGAAAATATTGAGATGCTTATAAGATATTGGTGTAGGAAAGGAGTTTCTGAATGAACTCTATGTGCTCACGAATTAATTCTGACATTTAACAAATGGAAATTCATAATGAAATGATTCTGCCCAGCTAAGGAAACACTCAGTTAACTAAAGAGGAAGCCCACAGAGTGGGGGAGATTTTTACTAGCTGCACATCTGACAGACTATTAATATCCAGAATACCATAAATAAATAAATAAATAAATAAATAAATAAATAATCAAGAAACAACCCTACAAAAAAGGAATAAGTGGGCTATGAATCGGAACAGAGTTCTGAAAAGAAGTAATGAAAATGGGCAAGAAATATATTTTAAAAAACACTCAATGTCCATAGCAATTAGGGAAATGCAAATCAAAACTACTTTGAGATTTCTTCTTATCCCAGCTAGAAAGGTTAAGATCAAGAAAAATGTCATACTTAGGTTTCTCTTGCTGTAATAAAGCATCATGAACATAGGCAGTGGAGAAGCCTTGATGAGTGAAGTCCTGATTGAACGTGTATTTTAACATGGGCACAGCCATGTCTAAGATGTCCAAGACCTCAGGCCCAGAGGACAATTGGGAAAAGTCATTACTTCTATGGCTCAGACTAAAAAGAAAAACGGCAAGGGTTTTGGTCAGTACCCAATCCCCTAGAATTGATAGGAGAAGTGGACACAGCCCCCATCCCTAACCCAGTTTTCTCCAAATTATTCTTAACGGTAGGCCCTATGCCTAGCAATAGATGGCAAACAGAAATGAACTCAGTGGTTTCTTTGGAGGTTCCTTGTCCATAATATTGTCAGGGATTTTATTTATTTATTTTTAAATTTTATCTTTTTTTCCTCTCTATTTACCCTGCAGGTTCTTTTGCATATATATCATGGCTCCCAGTTTAGTATTTTTTTATGGGATACCTGAGTGTGCAAACGAGTAGGCTTTGGTGTCTGTATCTCTTGTGTCTTGGGTTCTTTTCCTTCTGTTTGTTTGTTTTGTCCCATTCTGGTGTGTTAGTTTGGGTTTTGTCTTACCTTATTCTACTTTATTTTCCTTTACAAGTCTGTTTTCTAATGAGAGACAGAAAGAGGTGGGTGGTTCTGGTTGGGAGGGGAGGTAGGAAGGAACTGGGAGAAGAGGGAGAGGAAACTGTCATCGGGATATATTATGTGAGAAAAAGTCTGTTTTTAATAAAAGGGAAGAAGGAAGGAAGGAAAAGAAAGGAAAGGGAGAAAGAGGAAAGGAAGGAGGGAGGGAAGGGAGGGAGGAAAAAGAAGAATCAAGATAAAACTTTAGACATGGGTACCAAAAACACAAATCAGCCACTAGAGGGAGAAGCCAGGCATTTTCAAATAGCTGCCTTGGCTTTGGCGATGCCCAGAGACAAGGCAGAGAGGCTCCAGGCTGGGAGAATCAGAGTGACAGTGAATACTATGTCACTCAAAGGTGTCATTGAGAACAGAGATAAAAGGCTGCTTCCTGACATGAGGGCACTTGGGAAATATATTCCCATGAACTCTTTTAAAAACCAAGGCAAGGTAAAACTACCTGACAATTCTATTTGAGAAAACCGAGCAAGACTGTGTGCCTTTAATATCACAGCTGAGGGGAATCCTGAAGGGACATAATAGTCACATCCACAAATCCTAACAAAGTGAAAATAATAGAACACAATGTGGAGCGAGAAAACTCCCGGCAGCTCTCCTGTATCCGTGCCTAGGTCAGTACACTGCAAGCTGTGGTCCAAAGCTCACCCATCACCCCTTCCTGACAACTAAATTCTGGACTACAGCGCTGGTCCATTGATGCTCTATCTCTAATGCTTTCACCCTGCAAGGGCAGAGAAGCATGGCTGTGAGCAAGATATTTTATTCCACAGAACTGTAAACCTTTGCTAACCTGTGTTTTATAGCGCTGACACAATTCATACATTTAAAATCAAAACAACTTTTAAATTATCTTAGCAATGTTAGTAACATTTTAACTACAGAGGGATTCACACTGTGTTTTATATGATGCATGTATGTAGGGTCTCTGGCATCATGCCTTAACACACGCTCTTCAACTTAAAAAGTAAGACTTGGAATGGTTTTTATTAATGCTTTTTTTCTCTTAAGTATTTCCTTAATATTGGTTTGTTGGGAAGCACTTTTTTTTTCCTCTTGTGTATTTCCTGAATAGTGTTCTCATTAGAAGCACGTATAAGCTTTCAGAAAAAAAAATACCCTTAGAGACCGTTTTATGTCATCTTAAACCTTCTTTCTAGAGAATACTTACTCAGCTGGCAGAACGCTCCCTTGTGCCCCTTTCTTTCATCAAGAAAAATACCCGTAAGTATTTGAAAACCTGATTGGAGGATCTCAGCACTTCCTTTTGCCATGGGGTTGAATGGGGACATATACAGAGTGTCAGTGGGAATGTAAATTAGTCAGTGGGAATGGACATGAGATAGAGAGCCCTCGCATTAAATACAATTGATATGTCATCCAGCTATCCCATACCAAAGACCATCTAAATCAGCGTTCTATACTTATTACTATACTATTACTAATAGACTAGACATGCAGTCAGCTTAGCTGTCCATTGACTGACTGCGGGATAAAGAAAATGGATATATATATATATATATATACATATATATATATATATATATAATGGAGTTTCATTCAGTCATAAAGAAGAAAGAAATTATGTTAGATGGACAAAACTGGAGACCATGTTAAGTGAACTAAGCCAGATTTAAAAAGACAAACACATGCAGAATTCAGAATTTAAGTGTGTGTGTGTATGTGTGTATGTGTGTGTGTGTGTGTGTAACACGAAAGTCAAAAAGAACTATTTAGAAAGGTAGAAGGGAGCAGTGACACACAAGGGTGACCACGAATCCTGACATTACATGATACGTACATATAAAAGCATCATAAAGGCAGAGTGAGGTGGCTGGTAAAAAGTACTTGTTTCGCAAACCTGGCGAGTTGAGTTCAAGTCCCTGAAAACACTGTGGAAAGAAAGAACTGTCCAAAGTTGTTCTGACCTTCCCACGCACACACATAAACTATTTTAAACATCACAGTAAGATCCATGATTTTGCACAATAGACATATGATTGAGGTAAATGGAACCAAGTGGGGAGAAGAGGGGAAGAGAAGAGAGGGAAGGATGGGGAGAAGCCCTGGGAAGATACATCTACTCTCCCTTTAGGTCATCAAATGCGAGTTTAAAAGGACATGGCCAGCAGGGGGCACCCTCCCCAGTGTTTATGACCTCCTATGCCTAGCCAGTCCTGCAGATACAAGTGCAGGAATGACAGAAAACAATGGCACTCTGGTTCTCCATCCCTTCCTGCTCTCTGCCAATCTGTCAGATCACTGCCTTCAGTGGCTTCCCATCACATTCAGAACGGATTCTAAAAGCCGGGAGGACCCTGCATGACCTTGCTCCTGCCTATTTCATTCCATATTCTACATAGAACTATGCACGACTGTTTCGTGACCATGTAGCCACCGCCAGCAGCACGCTGAGACTGGGACCACATCTGAGTCTTTTCCCTTGCTACTTCCTGTTCTGACCTCTCTGTGCTAAGAAATCTTGCTCACCGCATCATCCAGGTTTACTGCATCTCTTCAGAGACAGCTTCCCTGACAACCCCATTCAAAACATTACCCACTTACTTTACTATCAGAGCCCTGTGTCTTATTATTCTTGTACTTCTCATAGTCTGCAATTGTTTTATTTGCTTAATTGTTTTTACCCCTATCTCTCCCGGTAGGGCCTAAATCCCCGTGGTGGCAGGAATCCACCCGTATTCTCTAGCATCTCATCTCCAGTATCTATCCCAGCAATTGGCGTTTAGTAGGTGCTCAGCAAATATTTATCAGTGAATGAGTGGACTTACAAAAATATGAGTACTGGATATTACATCAAGACCACCACAGAAAGAGTGGGGATATAAGGCCTTGTTGGGAGCTAAATTCTACCTGTATTATTTGTTGAAGCTTTAGCATGGCTGTGTTTGAAGATTAATGTAATTAAGATATAAAGAAGTTAGGTTCGTAAGATACAAGTCTTACGAAGGGGAAAAAGGAATGTATACACACAGGAATGGATGCCAATGTACGCAGGGTCCATGTACGCACCTAGCAACACACGCAGGTCTGAAAATTCAGGGATGAGCTCATGAAGACACGAAGAACTTTGACACCTCTATCTTCCAGAATCATGAAGAAATACATTCCGCTTATGTAAGCCACTTGCTCAGGCTGCTAAAATATATTGTCATGGCAGACCAAACAAACTAATATAGCTCTTGATAAATTAAAACTATTAATCAAAACAACGTCATATGTGAAGGAAATATCGTTAGGCAGTGAGGTGACTCAAAATGGCCAGAGTGTTGAAAACAACCCTACTGAAATAGGAGAATTTGAGAAGTTAAATGCTAAGATATTAAAAACAGGGATGCTAACATAATTTGTGGGGCCCAGTACAAAAATCAAAATACAGTTCTCTTATAGGGGAGAATATGCTAAAGTGCCGCTAATTATAAAACGTGAATCTTTGTCTTCCATTCTCCATGGCTCCTTAGTTATCCTGGTGTTTGTTTATGCTGTCTGATGTTGATCTCCAAAAAGTTAAAAATTGAGATTATCAAGATGAATTTTATCATTCATCCTTGTACCTCTTGGGAACTCCCCCTACTTCTCAGGTAAAATCCACGTGCACCCAGGACGCCTAAGAGGTCGTTTCACAGGGGAGAGACCAGTTGGGCACTTTGAAGAAGTGATTAGGGAGGAAGGTGGAGGCAACAGAGGGATCACTGAGCCCAATCGGAAGCTTGGATTCAAATGATCAACTCTGATAGGAAGTGAGCTGAAACTCGTTCTGAAACACCGAGTCTCCTTGCCCTTTCCTGAAACAAGGGGATTGGGTGTGATGATTCCCAAGGGTTCACACTCTTCTAAAAATAACCAGCACAAACAAAACTCTGGCCGGGGTGGTAGAAACAGAGCTCTGGAGTCATGTGGGATTGTCTAGCCGTGAATAAGAAACCAAAGCCTCTCTGACAGCACTCCGGGGGTTGGTCAGCTTTGCACACAGGTTTTTAATGTCCCCTCTCTCAAGCTAAAGTGAGGGAGAGGAAGGAGCAGGGACCACGAACATCATTCTATTCCTTACCTTCCCCACCGGCTGGCGTGAGTGACATCTCTTCCCTTATTCCTGTCTAGTTCAGTTTGGGCTGATCAAAGGTAATAATGCCAGAGCACGATCTTGGATGATTTGAGGCCTCTCTGAGTTTTTAATCACTGCTGTTGTTTTTGACTCCTTTCTGGCCTCTGACCATCTTAAGTCTCTGGAACATTTATGGGAACAGACGGGCTGTAGTGATTGCGTGTCAGAGACAGTAAGTTGGCGGCGGGAGCAGCCAACACTGAACTAGGGCTCAGATGCTGACAAACCATGTGACTTCCAGGCCCTTCTTCCTGAAGTTATTGGGCTGAGTCTTTTATCTCAGGTATCAGCAGCAACCTGTTGTTCAAACAGACAAACTTCACCTCTATTGGGAAATCCTACTGTTGACTTGGAATCAGCCCTTTCTGCTAGTCTTACCAGTCCCAATATTGTTGGCCGTACCTATCCCTCCAACACAGTGATGGGTCAGCTCTAAGAACAGGAATAAGTCAAGCTGCTGAGAAGGCCTGAGACATATAATAGGGCTTCTCAGAGAGAAAGGTTGCCTGGTTGTTTGGAAGGTGGGGTTATGTGAGGCTTGTCATTTTATGAAAATGAGGCTGAGTCGGCCTTAGAGAAGGCAGCAAGCACTGGGGAAAGCAGGATGAGTAGAAGACAGAGGCCCCAGAACCCTGCCTCTGTGATGTAGAAGACAGAGGCCCCAGAACCCTGCCTCTGTGATGTAGAAGACAGAGGCCCCAGAACCCTGCCTCTGTGATGTTCTCTGACCCTTCGGAGCAAACTCTGTCTGAAGCTGAAAATCACTCCTTGACTTTAACCAAAGACTTTCTTCATTTAGCTTAGTTTAAACTGGGCTTTTTGTCATGTGCAAGGATAATAATTCTACCATATTTTGTCTTTGTTGTCTTCAGTTTTCACCACTGTAAGATGAATATCTAGTGCATCCCAATTATCTTGTGTCTGTATAACTACCTGGAATGAGTGGACATCATTCCAGGACGAAGGAAGACACTTCTCCAAATGCTAAGGATGACGTTCTTTATCCGGTGAGCATCAGATTTCACATGTGATATATGTCTTACTGATCTTCAATACAGTAATAATCGTTATTTGTATGTTCCAATTCTATGTTTCTAGCTGAGGTCTCTGCTGAAGCTCAGGTTAAACCCTGGCAACTTCCAAGTAGGTTCTCTGCAGTCATTAACATAGTGCACCCCAAACTGAACCTGGGTCTTTTGCCTTCAACCCTTTGTCATGTTCCCTGTTGAAAGAGGTCCACCCTTCACCAGTGTCTCTAAGTTGCCCCTCCTTTACCTCCCTGTTTCTTCACAGCCCATACCATCTTCTAGCCCAGTCAGGCCTGTGAGCCAAACCTCTCTCCTATTTGTGTGTTCCTCTCTGACTCTGCTGCACTTCTGCACTAGGGCTCCCATCACTCGACCATATCTAAACATTATTGCCTGTTCTGAATGTAGTTCCCTCCTGTTGAAATAAGAGCGGCGGGGCTGCGTCCCCAACACCCCGGCCGCTTGGCTAGCTCATGCCCGAAATAACAACACACAAACTATATTCATTTAAGAACTGCTTGGCCCATGAACTCTAACCCTTACAGGCTAATTCTCGCACCTGGACTAGCCCATTTCTAATAATGTGTGTAAGCACCCCAAGGTGCGCTTACCGGGAAGATTCTAGCCTCCGTCCATCCTGGGAGAGTGGAGCATGGTGTCTGTGTTCCGGAGAGCAGAGTCTCTCCAGGAGCAGAGCAGAGTCTGACCTCACTTCCTCTTCCGCCCAGAATTCTATTCTGTTTATTCCACCCACCTATGCTTTAACCTATGAGGCCAAGCAGTGTGTTTATTACTTAACCAATGAAATCAACAGATTGATATATGACACTCCCACATCACCCTCCCCTTGTCCATTAGGACCTAGAAGGGGTAGTAGCTCTGCTGTTACAGCCCCCTGAGTAACCATAGGTCCCTTTGTTATTTCCCCTTTGAAATAAGCCTTTTCTAACCTACTTCAATGTGCTAACCCCAGCCCAGGCTCACTTCTCCCCAAAGCAGACTCCTGTATTAGCTCCTTCCTTGTCTCGCCTTCATCCCTGGACTTCTGTTCATGTAACTAGAGAGGGCATAAATGAGAACTGGCAAGTCCATTGGGAGGAGGGAGCATGCCCAGAGTTGTAAGAAGACCTAAAAATTAGAGATACAAGTATTTCAGATCATTTTAAATATGAGGGCCATCTCCTCTTTGTCTGTGGTTTTGAGGCCTACTTGTCCAGGGTAGAGTAATAGGAAAACCATCTGTTAGGGACCAAGTCAGACACCTACAAATACACACCTAAGCCGGCCCAGCTAGAGGTGGGTTTCTCTGCCTGAGATGTCACGTTGCATAACACATTACAACTGAGCATGGGCTTTCGTCCCCTAGGGGCCTGACAGATGTTGAGCAATCAATACATGTTTCAGAAAAGATTGATCTACAATTTTCTCCTCTTCAAAGGCAGTGAAGTAGGCAGCCCAGAGTTTTTCATCTTTACATTACAAGAAAGGAAACCAGGGCCCAAAGAAGAAGGTTTCCTGGTTCAAATGCCCAGTGACTGTGGATGCTCAAACCAGAATCCAGGTGTGTTGAACACCAACACCTTCAAGGGGAAGCTGACAACTGTGTCAGAAAAGAAAGAGAGCTTCGTGGGGGCATTTGGGGTTGGAGCTTGCATTTAAGTACCTTTTCAGCCTCTAGGATCCTACCCTAGCTTTCCATGATCACTCAGGACATGGTGAGAGCTGAGCTGCCAGTGGAGAAAGGTAGGTGGAAGTTCAGGCTGCTGACCAGCAGGGAATTGAGCAAAGGGAACAAGAGAAAGGCTTTCCGGTGCCAGGACTCTAGGGACATGTTTGTTGACTTTTTGCTCCACATTAACGACATCCAACTAGGCTTTGAAGCTAACTCTTGGATTGAAAGGTTCCAGGGGGTGGGTTGAGAAGTTCACGACCTGGTTGCTGAGCATACCCAAACAACAGAAAAAATCCACAACAGCCCTAGGAAAATGCCAGAATTACACAGAAAGTGGGGAGGGAACTATAGAGAAAACAGAACTGTGAGGGAAATAGGAAAAGAGCAACATGAATTTAAAAGAAAAACAACAACAACAAGAGAGGCTGCCCAGTAGGCAGCAGCAGCAATAGCAATGGCATCAACAAGCCTTGAAGGTGTTGAAGGCACCTTCACAACACCCTACCAGACCAACCAGGCGAAGACCAAAGGAACCAATTCCCAACAGCATCTCTGAAAACATGGTTCTGAGTCTTTGCCGCCTTGTTCATAGGCAGCGGTTGCTCCTTGCCTGTCTGCTCTGCTCCCCAACAGAGTCCTTAGCGCTGGTGGATATCTTGCTCTAACCCAATAATTCTTCTGATTTTGTCTGATATCAGTATGTTTCTCCTTACCCTCTGGCTAAACTCTAAGACTTAAAACTTTTCTCCAGAGAAAGCCTTCTGACCCTGTTTGCACCCCAGGATCGGGTCCTATGCCCCTCACGTATGTGCCCATAGTAACATAGACCTTTTCCAGTGCTCACCACTTGCTCCGCAAAGGGCATGTGCAGAGCATCCTCAGCTACACTGACACGAAGCACGAAGCAGAGAGTCCAGCATTGACAATGTGTCAGTTAGGTATCTATTGGACAAATAAAACAGAGAACTGGTCAAAGTCTCAAAAATAGCTTTCTCACTCACCAAACAAAGGAGAGGAAGGAAAATAATCACATATGGGGAATTTGAGTAAAGATATTATTTTAAGAGAAAAAGAAACCCAGGGAAACAAATAGCTTTCCATCTAAGGGTCATCAAGACATAGATTACCCCCTTGGTAATTGTGCGGTTATAATTGTCACTGCTGAGCCTTTTGGGAAAAGGATTAGAGAGATTTCCTTCCTTAAAAATAAACAAAGAAAGCCAAAAGCTACCAAACACTTATATACCTCCCAAGCACTCAAGCTCAACTGACTGTCTAAACAGAACAGAGGGCTGATGGAGTGGGACAGCGTGATCTAAAGGGACAACTTT